AACTGTCAGGAGGTGCTTCTAGCTTATCTTGTTTACACAGCCATCAGTCATCAATTAACAATGTGTTGGTAGTAAACAATAACTAATTCAGCGACACGGCTGACGTCACTTCACAGACAGCAGATTTGTATTCGTTTTTATTTTTTTAAAGAAGACAGTGTGTATGGTCCAAGTTAGAGTACCGTATTTTCCTCCGTACACAACGCTACGCCCTAAAAGTTGCATCAGTCCAAATATGTCTAATAAAGTTGAAACATCCATAAATATGTTGCTTCGTCGTATACTTCGCATCTATTATGCGTCACCGCTGACAACCCGGAAACGCAGGCCTGTGTTGTGCCAAAAATCGATTTGCTGCCAAATGGCGGAAGCGTGCACAGGAGGACTTTTAACAAGAATTTAAAAAGATTAGCACTTAAAAACAATTATTTGTTTGCTCGACATTATAGTTAAGGTGTGTCTCAGTTGAACTTTTACTTAATAAATGCACTTCAATGGTCAAATCAGCTGCATTTCACCGGGGCGGCGCAGCAAAATGAAGCTGGTTTGACGGTTGCTCCAAGCGAGCTGGACGAAGGTGGCAGGCTAAGGCAAGACGATCGTGTCATTAATAGCCACTTTTTACCTATTACATTACACAACGGCATGCCATACTACTAGAGTGCCATCCAGCGGCTGACAATGGTAATGTTTGATATTTTCAGTCAGAATGAATGAAAACGGTCGTATCTCAGCCAAAAAATGGTTTATAATAGCGTTCACCAGCTGCAGTTTTCTGGCCGATCATCAATCTCTAAAAAGTCTGAGCTGCCGATTCCAATTTTGTTTTATAAGCAACACGGTCAGGTGTTATAAGGTCACAATGCACCTTCAATTTTCCAATCTGATTTTACGTACAGACCCTTGAACAGTATCCTAGAAACAATACAAACTTGTTCTAACAGGCCATGAGGTGGTGCTCTGAAATATAAATGCAAGTTTAGACAATTGTTGTTAAAAATACAAAAAAAAATTTAAAATCGGTTCCTCGTCGGTCGATCTCTGATTTCCCAAAATTAAGGAAATGGGGGCTGATAAATCAGCTGACCGTTTTATCGGTGCACCCCTGGTTTATAAATATGGGAAAAAATACATGAATACGTCGCTTCAGCGTACAAGTCACAGGGCATGTAAATTATGCAAAAAAAATGCGACTTGCAGGCCGAAAAATACGGTAAATGGTTTTAGGAAACTTTAGAAGTCAAGGGTTTTTTTTTCATTACTGCTTTAATTAAAGTCCTTAAAGGAATGAACATTGTAGAGTTGACAGATTCAGACAACGGTCAACGATCTGCAGAAAAATGAGTCTGAGCTCGTTTTGGTCAAACCTTGAAAATATTGTTTTGCATATTGTGTATTCTATATATTGTAAGACATGACGTTCAAAGTGTGTGTTGTGAATGACTCAGCTACTGCCCCCATCAAACTGTAGTTCAATGTCTGCCAAATTAAACCCATATTTGTGTTTTCAAACATTGATTTGGTTTGGCTGCCGTCTTTGGCAGCTAGAAGTTCGTAGAGCTTTAACAGTCAAGTCCTCTGTTCCAGGTGCTGATGGAGGACAGGCTGACCAACCGGCTCCGTGAGTCACTCAACATCTTCGAGACCATCGTCAACAACCGCGTCTTCTTCAACGTTTCCATCATCCTCTTCCTGAACAAGACGGACCTGCTGGAGGAGAAGGTGAAAATCGTTCCGCTCAAAGACTACTTTCCCGAATACACTGGACCGGAGCACAGCCTGATCGACATCCAGGCCTTCATGGTGGACTGCTTCCGGGCCAAGAGGCGCGACACCACGCTGAAACCCCTCTACCACCACTTCACCACGGCCATCAACACGGAGAACATCAGGCTGGTGTTCCGGGACGTCAAGGACTCCATCCTCCATGACAACCTCAAGCAGCTCATGCTCCAATGACCCCCGCCAACCCGTGAGAGCAGAGGACCTGAACGGGGGACAGCTCACTCCCCGTGCCTGACTATTACCAGGACTTGGGAGAGACTAGCCTCTGAAGAATCAAGACGGACATCAACATTCTTCTTCAGACACTTGTACAACCATTTTTAAGCTCCTCTTTAAAGAGTTGGCCCTCTCGTTAGTTCAGGATTCGATTGGGGAACAAGTCATTTGAGCAGACTGGTATTAAACTAGACCAAAACTGGTTTGTTCTTTTTTTGGATAACATCTGACCCCCTGCTGCCTGGTCTTCTGTTCTAAGTCACGCCTCGGTAAATGATCTGCTGGGGCTTTTCAACTCGCAGGGTGCCAGTGCTGGGACAAGTGGAAGTCGGGAAAATGTTTCCAGAACGCGTCTAATTTAAACCCTCGAGGCAACAAACGGGAAACAACCAGTGAAAAATGTTTAAATATCTAACATGGACGCTGATTTATTTCAATTATTCAGTTTAAATTTAAGCACCGACTTCAGCTTTTCTCCAGTTCATCCTGTTGCACTCTCCACTTCTGCTTTGTTAGACTGCAAGAGAACAGTTCCCATTATTTCACTCGTTGCATCGCTTTGTCCCAGTTCAGGAGCAGTTGGTTTCAGGTGCTGGAGCTGAAACTGTTGCCCAGGACCCCCTGATGGACTACTGGTCATGAAAACGCTCAAGACGCATCGACTGGTTCCAGCACTGGCACCTTGTTTGTAGAAAACCGCTAGAAGAGGGCGCAACCACAAGACTGAACCTTTCTACGTTTTTATGACCTAATCACTGCCGTTAGATTTAAAGTCGATATTAACGTTTTCCTTAAGATGATTAAATTCATCTGTCCTGACGTGTTGATAATTACAGTGAAGAAAAAGCCACTAAGTGAACATGCAGTCCACTGTTTTCCTCAGGGTTGAATCAGAACCGGTGTTAACATTTCTGAATGATTTTGGCCGTAGCGAGGCCTCCACATCCGTAGCTAGGTGGTGCAGCTTCCCGACCCTGACACCCCCCCCCCCCCCCCTTCTCTGTGTCCTGATTAGTAAAATGATCTCTGCAAGGCCACCCTCCCTTTGCCTTAATCATGAATGTGTGTTAGCGATTCTCCAGGGATTTACTCTTTGTTGTTCGAATAAACTGTAACCAACCTTGCTGTGGTAGTTTGTAATCCGTCGTGTGAGAATCTGTTTTGGCACTGACTCCTGGCGTCTTCGAGAAACCGTTTGTTTTTGTATAATTCTGCGCACAAGACTGTGCTGATTTTTTTTTGGACGAAAATTTTTGATTTTTGTAGAAATGTGACCAAAAATTTAAAAAAGCTACTGGGGTTAAACACATCTGTCACTGACTGTAATTATTTTTTATTTTATTGTTGTTAGACAATTTCAAGGCGCTGTTAATCTTTTTTTTTTTCCCCAAATTATACTAACGTTCCCAATACTGTGCACATAAACAGTCTGCATTGTTTTTCCTCACGATGCTCTCAAGAGCTTGTCATTTCTTCTTGTTCTAGCTTTGTAAATACTGTAATCTGTATTTGTCATGTAAATATTATTCTGGTTAATCTTCTTGTATGTATATGGTTGTAGAAATTACATTCCTACGCTGGAAGTTTTTCAAATCACTGCTTTTCCATTGATTACTTTTTTTGTTTTTGATGTAATTTTTTTTCCCCACCACCTCGCTGAAAATCATTCTAATGTCAAGTTTAACGCTACTCATAACCTTATTAATAAAATACACTTTTCTAATGATAAACTGCAGACTGTGTTATCAAACACATTTACTTGCCTGTTTTTTTACAAAACCTCAGGATTCTAAAAAATATATATATAATTTTTTTAAAGAATTACACATTCATGAAGGAACAATGTGGCACAAGCTGCACAGCTCTAGAATGGAAATAATAAATAAACCCTTGCAGTCAACACTTTGTACATAAATACCACAGAGACCCCCATGAACTGAAATTATCAAAATATTTGGGATCAATGGATCTGTTTTATATGGTTTTTAAAGTCCTAATTATGAGAATAAAAGTCATAATTTTTAGTTTTAAAGTCCTAATTACGAGTTTTAAAGTAATAATTATGCGAATAAAAGGTCAATTATGAGTTTTAAAGTCATAATTATGAGAATAAAAGTCATAATTTTGACTTTTCTAATTTAATTTCAAAGTTTGTCCCTTTCCGGACACCATGACTCTACAGGGATGCTACTTCCTGTCAGACACTTGTAGTTTTCCTGCATAGCACATGGATTAATTCATTCAATGCATGTCCCTCTGCCTTCAAACATCAATCCTTTTAAATAAAGGTATGTAATGTAAACATCTTTTAAACACCACTTTATATAGCATTTAGTATCGAAGCCCATTTCCGGTATGAAATAAAAGCCCAACAGGAAGTTAAAATTGAGTTTTAAAGTCAATTACAAGAACAAAAGTCATAATTATGACTTTAAAACCCGAAATAATTACTTTCTCATAATTATGACTTTAAAAGACGAAATTATGACTTCCTGATGGGCTTTTATTTTTTTCTTTCATGGCGGAAGTGGGCTTCCACAGTTTTACACAATATATGTTATAAAATTGTACAGTTTCTTTTAACTTATTAATTTATCTATTGTTGATGTATGAACTGGCCTAGAACGCCAGCGCAAAAAGTTTGAGTAAAACTGAGGGAGATATGTGGCATAGATATCATATAATCATAATAATTTTATATGATGGGTATGTGGAGGAGCGGTTTCAGTGGTGCTGTAGGAGGTTTGGTAACCATTTTGTTTTTTTATGTTACTGGGTTGTAAATTCTTATGCCGGAATAGAAATCGAAAACGCTCCTAATAAAATCGAACATGGACTTCTGTTTAGTCTATTTGTTATTTTATTTCTACGTAATAAGAACGTAAGTGTCTGGTTAAGAATTTGGGGAATTAAAAAAATAATAATTTGGGGAATTACGCAAAGGCGGAAAGAGGAAGGAGTGAAACATCTGAACAAACAGCAGTTGGTCCAGCGCTTAAATGTTTACACATGTTTAACTGTCAGGCTAACATATCTTTAACGTCAGCCCGCTATTAAAACACCGAGCTAATATGAGTCTTGTATGTGTAGCTTGAATTTT